CTGTAGACCAGGCTGTTATTGAACTCAGAGACCTTTCAGCCTCTGCCTCCCAAGTGCTGGTTTTAGAAGCATGTGACACCATGCCCAGCTAGAAAATACATTTTTGAGTGATTCTGAAGCAAAACTGCTCTTCATGGTTACACAATATTACTCCCAAATTCACAGATTATTACACACAAAAAATTCTCAATGCCAGGCACAAGATAGCACCCTGCAAGTTATAGGTGGAGGAGGTCCCAGAAGTGCCCAGAACATGTTGCTCTTAGGTGCTATATTAGTTGGAGTTTCCATTACTGTGACAAAACACCATGACCAAAGCAACCTGGGGAGGAAAGGGATTATTTCAGTTTATACTTCCAGGTGGCAGTCCATCACAGACAGAAGTCAAGGCAGGAACACAAACAGGGCAGGAACCTGAAGGCAGAGGCCAAGGAGGACTTGCTAACTTGCTTCCCCATTGTCTGCTGGGTCTACATTCTTATAGCACCCAGGACATGCGAACCAGGAATGGCATCACTGACTATGGGCTGGGCCTTCCACCATTATTCACTAATTAAGAAAATGCCTTACAGCTGGACCTTAGGGAAGCATTTTCACAATTGAGGCTCCTCCAATCTGATGCCTAGTCCCAAGTGTGTCAAGTTGACATTAAATTAGACAGTACAAGTGCATACCCTAATTAGATAACAATACCCTATTACAAAATCAGCACTTACTAAAGATACAGGATGCGGAGAAATCAACCTCAATTGACCAGGAAAATCTCTCCCTTCTTTGTAGCATGTATAAATACACAAGGTGCTAGGAAAGATTCTAGGGGAGTGAGAGACATCAAAAGTATCTCCTAACACTAGATGCTACATGCTATAATACTGATCTGCACAATACTGTGCAATAGTAGAACGCTGCTTATGGGGATTACCAAGTGCTTTCTCATTGAATATGAGGTCTGCTTCACAGAGGGATTTCATGTCTGATATTGTAAACAGCTAAAAAGCAAATGACTGAGGACATCATAGGACCAAGAGAAGAAATCTACTCATTTGGTAAAGGTACCTGCTGTCAAACCACCAGCTAAATATGTATGCAGATGTTTGTCAATTTGATTTCAGTCAAAGACACTTCCTCCTGAATTTGATAGCACTTAATACAACCTCATACCTGGTACAAGTATGATGTATAAGTAACTGTGATTTCACCTGTGTAACATACAATAATCTCGCAATACACAAGACTCAGCAGACATCATGAAAGAGTGGGCAGAAACAATGTTAAGGGATGGGAAGAACTATGAAGTGCTAGCTTCTGGAATAGCATGTCTACTGCACATATTAATTCCTACCAGCTGTATTCACCCTCAAAGACCTCCAGGAGATCAAAGGAGACAAAATTCCAGTACGGATGGAGCAGGGCCAAACAAATTTCTGCCCTTAGTGGATGAGCTAAGGTTGAGGGGGATTTGCTCTCCTCTGCAGATGCTACAATATGTTGCCCACCCAACAATGTAGAGTGCTAATTAGATTCAACATATATAAATAACCAAAAGAATGAAACTGTGAAGCTGTGAAGGAGAGGAAGCAAGGGCACCAGGGAGAGTCAGAAGGGGGTAGTTGTAAATGAACATCATCAAAATACATTGTATAAATGTAAAATATTTCAAAGACTAAATAAGGATAACTGGGAATACAATTGCACATATAATATCCATATCCCTGCCAGGCCTTATATAATTACACAACAAAAAAGAATAACAAAAAATAACAAGAAAAAAGAATTCCTACACAATTATATAACACCTTTGCTTAACACACATGACAACTGCCATGCTCCAATCAGTTCACTTTATCACTAGAATCCACCCATCCCTGCAAACCCCTTACACATGAGGAGGTTTTTCATATGGAAGGATCCTCGTATCAGTCATCCATGATACAAGTATTTGACATAAGGCCATCACCAAAATAATGACCAAGGGGACACCATACCTGTATCATGGATGCCTGCACTTCTGCTGATTATTGGGTGCTGAGTTTGTCATAGGACATTATGTGCCATCATAAAAGGACTGCTAACTCTCTGCCATGGGCATCTATCCAGTTTGATGCTGCTTGGAGTCACCCAACACGCTAATGACTACTAGATAAGACTTGTAAGGCTTGTAAAATAAGAAGGGGTCAGGTAAATGACCTTACAATAAACACCATGAAGACATTGACAAAAACAATTCATGGGCTTCACCACATCCCAAGGTGGAATATACAACAGGAAGAACCACCAAGGCCCCAGGGACATTACACGCTCTTTGTGATGTGCCTCCCTCGACATCCCAAGACCATCTCTCACACAACTAAGGAGATGCCAACAAAAGCAAGAACAAAGAGCAGCTGCTGACTTGGGAAAGCAGACTGCATCACACCTGTCTTATCAGCACATCTAGTTTCCGCCCCTTCCTACATGATGACCTTTCTAGGAGAGGCTGAATGCCTATAAAATGGGTGCACCTTTGGGGTGGACAGTCAGAGGCAGGAGCAAGAAAAGAAGCAGCTACTGAAGACTTTGAACCGTGAGAGCGGCAAGGTAAGGATTGACTAGAGGGATGCACTAAGAAGGGCAGGCCAAGTGGGAAGGACCATGGGACAGGTCACCTCTGGACAGATGACTAGGGCTTACTCACTGATCATCTAAAATGTTCCTGGGCTGCTGAACTGCAGGACACTGAGCCTAAAGTGAAACAGGGGAGAGCAAGACCAATTGGAAGAATGTTCTCTTCAGAAAACAGGAAACTGACTGCTCGAACTCTCTGAGAGGTCCACTAAGTCAGCATAGCCATGAACTCCTTAACAGGCACATATACCTTGCTCTTCCTGAGAGAGTGTTTAGATTAATGACATGCTGTTTAGATTTCCCAGAGGTCAGAGAGGGAAGGGGAAAGTATGGTAGAAATGTGGTGAGGTTTACTTTTCAATAAGGCAATTTATGTGATGCAAGAACTGCCACTGGCTTCAGTTTACTGGAACCACCGCTTTCTGATGGTAATGGCAGCAGAGGGTTTACCTTTCAAAGTAGGTATACATGGTGCCAACCTAAACCATCACCATTAGCCTCTAAGAATCATCAAATGTACACACATAGCCTAGCTCAGCTCTGGGAACACTCGGCTACTGTAGACTATGGGAGTATGCAGAAAGGACAACATGGAAAGATTTAAAGGCAGAGAGGGGAGGGATTACAGATGAGAGTCTAAAACAATATCAAGTAATTACTAAAGTGGTAGCAGTCACAGGTGGAGGAAGCGCTTGCTGGGCAGGCATATCACATGAACCTCTGAGGGTGAGGCCGCAGTGGTGTGTCTGTAAAGTAGAGGTTATAGCTGAAGTCTTAACAAATGGTCCCTGCTATCGGGAACACATGCACAGGGTCCCCTCTGTCATAAAGCAAATTGCACTTACTTATTGTGGGGTGAGCATTTGACAGAAGTGACCCAATGACAACTTTTTTATAGGTCACAGCAAAGACCCACACACCAATTTTACAAACCCTGACAGATGAAGGAGGACAAGAGGGAAGAAATGCCAACAGGGCAACTCACATGTTAGGGGGAAATGTCAGGAACACATGTGCAGCACCGTTCTACATGTTACAGTGGGACAGTGAAATCACTCAGCTGGTAAAGGTATGCCACCAAGCCTGATGACTTCAGTGTCATCCCTAGAACCACACGACAGAAGGAAGGAATAACTCCATCAAGTTGTCCTGTGATTTACACACATGACTTGCAATAAATACATAAATGTAACTGAAAGATTTGAAGGCAGACCAGGCATGGTGGTGTACAGATTGGATCCCAATAATCGTGGGACAGAGGCAACGCTTTCTCTGAACGAGAAAGCGAGCTTCAGGAAAGTCAGGACTAAGAGTAAGACCCTGTCTCAAACGTAAAAAAGATACATCAAGGTAGCCGTCAGAGACAAAACATCTAGAGAATAAGCATAAGCAAGAAATCTGAGAAGGTCAGATGGGAAATGATTGTCAGACGTCAACAGCAAACCGCAGCTCCACCATGAGTGGGGTACACCACCCAATTGACACGGGAAACTGAGGTAAAAACAGCACCTGATGTCTAGCTTTACAGGCACAATTTAATACTTTATTAACATTAAACTTTCTTAATGCTAATGAAAAAGGAAAATCAGGATGAATACATATTTATTCAGGGAAAAATAACTTAAAACAGAGTCAGATGAGCACCAGCAGGTTCCAGGTCCCAAGGATGCCTCAGAATGCTCCTCTGTCCCCATGCAGCAAAGAAGAGGGCATTCCAGGGCCCCTTCCCGAGACCTAGTTCCCCCAGATAACACCCACCCCTGTACCCACCCCAATGGGCGTGGTCAGTGCCACGGGTGCAGACAAAGTGAATATCTCACTACACAATTCTATAAGACCTCTCAGGAAAAGTCCAATACCAGCTACTCAGTAAGAAGCTTAACTTAGGGGCAGGGGCCAAGTTTGGAGTTAAGGACTCAAACTTGACATGTCTAAAATGGGAACTGGGAAACTACCAGGGGCCCAAGGACATAGCTTAGTTTTGGAGCAATGATAGAACACAGTCAAGCCTGTATACAATATCAGCACTGAAAAATGAAACAGGAGGAGAAATTATATGTGGGGTAACATAAAGGATATGTGACTACACAAATTAAAAGGAGAATATACATGAACCCAGGAAGTCAGACCTCAGGTCAGGGCTCACCCGCATTGACATGTTACAGCCAATACTGACAGCACAATTGCCCATGGTAGAAACAGTAATAAGAATATGTTAACAGGCATATATCAGACCATGTTCCCATGAGCAGAGGACAAACTAGGGTGTCAATAAAGTGAAAATGAAGCTCTTCTGAGAGACAGGGAGTCACCTGCACAGAGTTACATGACAGCTCTAGGTCCATGGTGAATGTGATGTGTGAGCCATTTCTCTTCTGCAGGTGTCAGCCATAGCAATGTGGGCTCTGCGGGCCTTGGTCATCACGTTGAGCATCCAAGCAGGAACACTTGACCTGGTAGAAACACCTCCAGGGGTGAGCAGTCTCCCCGTTGCTGTGCCCAATGTGAACACCCTTCCTCTTAACCTGCCAGCACCACCACACCTCAAAGGTTCCACCAACAAGCAAGGCTCGCCTTCCAAAAAGCATCCAGCTGCCTCCAAGGGTGGCAAGTGTGCGCCTGCAGCCAGATACTTCCTCTCCAGTGGCAAACTCCATGACTGTAAGTAAGGCTCATTTCAGCTGTCTTCTTAGGTCCTGTCTACACCTTCCATAGCCTGCACATTGGTGAGCTCAGAGCAGGTTCAGTCAACCCTCTAAATAAGTGGTTTCCCAACCTGGAGATCCTGTGGCAGCTACTTGTGCCTAGACAGAGAAGGGAGCTTCGGTCATGTGTAGAAATTCTGGTACAGCAAAGGTCTGAATCCAGCTCATCCAACAGCTCAGAGAGATGAAGAAGCTTTTCTTTCTTTCCTTTGTTTTCAGTCATAATTCTTTTTTTTATTATTATTTATACTATTTTTTATTTTTTCTTATTTTACATATTGATCCCAGTTTCCTCTCCCTCTCTCCCTCTCTGTTGCTCAGATACTTAGATGGGGTCATCCTTGTAGGTCTCTGGACATTTCTCTAGAGTCAGTTTTCTCTTCAAACCTATAATGGCTCCCTCTACTACGGAATCTCATTTTTTGCTCTCATCTAGTCATCCCCCTACTCGATCTTCCTAGTCCCACACGTTCTCCTCTCTTACCCTTGTCTTTCTCCTAGCTCCCTCTCTACTCACTGCCCGCCCCCACTCCCAATATGCTCAGGAGATCTTGTCCCTTTCCCCTTCTGTGAAGGACCTTGAATGAATCTCTTAGGTTCCTCCTTGTATCCTAGTTTCTCTGGCAGTGTGAATTGTAGGCTGGTGATCCTTTGGGAAGCTACTCATAAGATACCTGAGATTGGATCTAGGATTCAACTTGACATTTCTAAAGTGGGGAATGGGAAACTACCAGAGAACTGAAGACATAGCTCAGTGTTAGAGCAATGGTATAACATAGTCAACTCCTATGTACAACATCAGCACTGAAACAAAAGAGGGACTAAATTTTATGTGGGATAAAACCAAGAAGGTGTGACTACACAAGACAGCAGTAGAATATATATGTACCCAAGAAGTCAAACTCTGATAAGGACTCAAACTGCATTGACATGATACACCCAAGTGTAAGTTCAGGGCAGGCCGATGTCACCCTGGACAAGGGAAATGTCTGACTCCGGTGGATTCTTACCACCTACATACAGACTCTGTCACACCACATGGTTCCTCCTTGCTGGGCTCCAAACTGGTGTAGACTGCCTCAGCCTGGTTTTCAGAACAAGGAAACACCAAATTCAGAATCTGGCCCTGCTCTTGAACTCTGAGCCATCTATCCAGCAACAGAGGGCTATTCGTAACTAGGGCAGGGGCAGCACAAGGAACCTGGAAGGCAGAATTCTGAGTTGCCATATGCCCCAAATTTCAAGATGTCGCCTTCCAGAAAGGAGAGTGCTAGGATGAACTGAATAGAAAACCAAAGCACGATTGTCTCTTGATCTTTTTCAGATCTCATGAACAAGCTGCCCCCACAGATTGAGGACATTGTGAAGTGTGATGACGTTAATATGGCAGGCGTGCTCGGGACACTGTTAGCCACACTGGACAACTCTGACCTGCTCTCACTCTTAGATCCCACTTCCCTCCTGAAAGGGGCAGGTGGTCTTGGCCTAGATGGTCTCCTAGGCAAAGGCAAAGAAGGGAATGAGGATTCCTCAAAGCCCTCTTCAGGGTCCAAGGCCACTGGAGGGCTCGCCCAGCTACTCCCAGGGGGCAGTGGTGGCCTGGACAGCTTACTGAATCTTGGGGGAGACAAGGGCTCTGGGAAAGGTCTCCTGAAGGGAGAGGGACTCTCCAGTATCGGGAAGCCTCTGCATGACATGGTTGAAAATGTAGACAATATAAAAGACTCTGTCGAGGCCAAGGTGAAGGAAATGCTCCCCAGTGACCTCAAAGACCCAGTTTCAGATCTACTCAACATAAACATCAAAGAGCTTTTGCTTGAGTAAGTGCTTCTTTGACAATTCTCGGGGTCTCTGGAAGAACAAGATGTTCATTGGGACACTTACACTCAACATACAACAAGCATAGTGACAGCCACTTTCACAGAAGACATGCTTACTCGCACTGGAATCTCTGTAAAGTACTGCCAGGATGTCTTGAGCGCAAAAATCTGGTTGGGAAGCACAGTTCAGGGGCATAGGAGCAGCAGAGTTTAGTAGGTGGCGAGCCGCCTTCCCCACAGGTATTTCTCATGAGGGCTGGGCTGTTTCCAGGAAGCAGAACTGAGCCTGTATTGTCCCTCTGCAGATTAGAGGTGGATGAAGTAACAGTGGACAGCACGGACATAACCATGGCAGCTGATGAGATCCACGTCCACTCCACAGTCACTGCCACCATAGGCGGAAAAGGGTGAGCATGTTTCCAGATGATTGCTGGGTCACCAGGGATGAGGATGCAGGCCCCTATCCTACAGCCCAAGGACAAGGACACACAGAGAGAAAAGAAGATCAGCTATTCCCAGCAAGACTTCCTTACAGAGGGCAACTTCCCTCAGGAAAAAAAAATCACGTCCACATATATACATACCTACTTATGTATGTTATATTTTATGAATGTACATATGTATGTATAAGTATATACAAACACACACATACAAAATTGTCCCTGTATAGAATTTCCAATGTTAACAAGTTCTGGCTTACCCTGCCACGTTTCTCTTATGTATTTCCACACAACTCAGAAGGCCTAAGTGCTAGGTTTGAAGGTGAACTTAAAACTGACACCCTGTGCCAACAACAGGCACCTCCTTAAGGCTAGGTAGGACAATTATTCATCAAACATTAACGGCCTAAATGACCACACTCTTCACTCTCTGGCATAGGACTGAGGCCCTAGAGCACAGGGACTGGAAAACAGTTCTTCCCTCTAGAGGATGACCTTCACCACATCGGGAGGACATTCCCTAATACCTTTCTCTGCCCTGGTGTCTCAGGCAGAATTTCATTCGCCTCACATTCCTCTCCACAGAGCACTTGGACCTGTCGTCAGTGCACTGCAATTTGAATCCATCCTGGAAGTGACAATGAAAATTGCTGTTTCCTCCAACAACACTCAGTGTGTCAACCTTGACATCCAAGACACCCACATCCAGGTCAACGAAATGCACATTCAGTTAATTGAGACGTAAGTACAACCCCTCCTCCTTTCTACTCCATCAATCCAATCCAAATGTGTGTCACAGTGGCCTTCCTGCTGTCCCAGCGGACTGCTGGTCCACAATAGTACACAGGACAATCAGGAAATGCCAGGAGAGCTGACGAGCAATGTTCTGCTGTGTTTAAGAACTACCTTCTCACATGACCTTGTATCTTTCCTTCTTGCTCTATTTAAGAGACTCATCTTGGATTTTCCCTAAACAGTGCACTGACCTGAGTCAAAATGGAGAAAGAACCATGAGGCCATACAGTGAAAGTGACAATCTCTCTGCCACTCTCTGTGCCAGCTGCCTCCCTCTGACTCGGTTCACATGAGGAACATGGAGATGCTTCTCACCCACACATACCAGCCTTGACATCCTTTCCTTCCATCAGCTATGCCCTACACAGGACATCATTAAAATTTCTCTAGCTAGAATTTAGCCAGCTGTGAATTCAGATCCACAGCTACGCCAAGACCACAGGCTGGTCTATGGACAATTGTGCTCCAGTGTCTGAAGCATGAATCCATTCTGGGGACCTCAGGGCCAGGTTTCCTGTGCTTAGGCCAGGTATCTTTGCATCTTCCTTAAAGACCAAAGGTCAAGGCAAGAGCTCAGGATTTACAGACACATAGAGAAACCAAACATCATCCTGACTCCTTCATCAGTGAGGCGCTATAACTAAGACATACACCAATCTAGAAACACGACAATCACTACTTTCAACATGTCTATCTTCCACAGAGTCACAGGAACTGTGCCTCTCCCCATACCACTGCCATTGAATGATGTTGTCCCAATAGTGCTCTCAGCAGAGATGAATGAGAACGTAAGTCCAGGGAAGGGGTGGGGTTCACTCACAGACCTGAATCACTGATAACTGGCCTGCTGCTAGGACAGATTTAAATCAAGACCGGGGAACCTCAGAGCAGAAAGGCCACCATGGACAAGCAGCTCCCCTGACCACATGTCTACCAGCAGAACTAGAGAAGATGAGATTTGGGAACAGTAATAACTTCTACCAAAAGAGTTCAGGGAAATAGCACAGGAAAGGGGAAGCCCAGGAGAGCAGGGGAGGAGGAAGGCAGATTAAACAGGCTCCTGATGCTCCCTCAGCTAAGCTAACCTGTGGTGACTTCACAGCTGGAGAAATCCAACTCCTGTGCCATTGTTCTCAAGGACTTTAATAACTGCAAGAATGGTGAGTCCTTTCTGGTTGTTCTCTTGTCAATGTACTAAAGTGGTTCACAGACCATGGGGGATTTCATAGGATGATATACCATAGAAGAAGGGACTCTGGGATATCACGCTCCAAAACTACAAGGACCCTCACACACTACTATGCACACAGAGGAAGGACAGTGGTCCAACTGACCTTTTTTTCAAGGTACTTGACTTCTGAATCAAGGAAACAATTAGAAGACAGTGCCCGTGGGGGCTGCACAGAGCTTCCCAACCCAAACAGTTTCCAATGAAACACTACATACATAAAGTCTGAATCAAGTGCAGTCCAAGGACATCGTCTTTGGAGTCCTGAGATGAGGACATCCTACAATAACTCAATAAACATACCAAAAGCCAAGTTGGGAGGAAATATTGGGTTGAACAACCCAGGGAGGTGAAGGAAGAAACTGGACTTATTTCTCAAGTCCCACCATAGACAAAATATATAGTGTACATACCACTGTTTCCTTCTTCAAAGAGATTGGGACACATCAGATAAGAAAATAATTCTGTGCGGGTAAACCCGAAGCTCAGAGCATCCTTTGAGATATGGAAGATATTCAGAGCCACATCTTGAGTCTGGCAGGCAGGCAGATGCAGCTGTCCATACTGGTGTCTAGAGAGAGACCACAGGTACAGTTGGGACCCAACAGCCATCAGTGGCAGTGTGGGTTCTCACCATTCCTCCTCCTCTCCTCCACAGCTACCGGCTTATTCAAGTACAAGGTTCAAGGTGCCAGGATTTCTCCCAAAGGACTTTCCATCCTCTACTGTGTAAGTAGGCACTGTCTTTGCAATGAAACTGGATGCAGGGTGGAGGCATACCTGGAAGCACACAAGAGGTTAAAATGTCAGGACAGAGAAATGATCAGCTCTTTCTGACCCCTCATCTGATACTGGGATCAGTCTCCAGAGTGTCCATCGGGGCATGGTCACGCTAGTGCTCCTCTCCACTCAATTTCAGAGGATGACAGTCTATCAGGCACTCCAACTGACAGAACCATAACTTGTCCCAGCTGAGGTCTCCACTCCCAGTAGAGTACACACATCTAAACAAAAGGCCATCTCCTGCCAACCACCCACTCCCCAAACAGGAAGCCAAAACCAGGGTGTGACAAGTGATGAAGAGAGGGGACATGACTAGCTCAGCTTCCCCTCTGGAAATCCAGCAAAAAAGCTGCACTCAGAGGCTGAAGCACAAACCCATGCACATCCAGGATGACGTTCATCAACATCCTACAACATACACAAAGGACTGAGGGTCAGATACTTCTACACGCATCACATGTGGAAACATATAGCCATGCTTTCCAGATACTAATAGTCACTCTAAAGTCAAGAAAAGCGAATGGAGGTATGCACAGGACAAGAGGAAACACCAGTAAAGTCTGCATAAGTCTCTCTTCAGTGTATTCCTTGCTGAATGGTCCAACATCCATTTCAATACAGAAAATACTTGAGAAATATAATGGGAGAATGCACACAAAAATAAAGAAGGAAATGGACAGAAAAGCAGACACAGGAAATACCCAATATTAGCTTTAATATCTAAGAACTTATACATATACACATATGTCTTCGATGGTTTACGAATCATGGAAGGAAGGGAAGTGCAGAGGAAGAAAAGAGAGAGGAACCACTGAGGGGAACTGACTTTCAGTTCTGGAAAAAGAGGATGCAACTATTAAACACACGCACACACACACACACACACACACACACACACACACACACACACCTTCTTGAACTCCATCAAAAATGCTGTCTCACCTTTAGGCAAGGATTCATGATGTCTCAGGAAAGCCTGGCTGCCCTGAGCCCTGTTACAGTGCCACTGGAAATAAGCTAAGGCAACTTCACCCTACACTGTAAGAGCGACACTACAAGGCCATCCCTCTTCTTCTAGTCTCCTGAACCACATCGATGTTTTTCTACTTTTCTCTCCTTAGGTTGGAGCCAATTTTGGCAAAAGAACAGTACCAGTGATTGGAGGTCGGCTGCCTCAAGATCCCAAAAATGCCACCATTTCTGTAACAATGTCCAATTCAATGTTGAAGATACTGTTAATATATGTGGCCAAGCAGAGCTCTGTCAAGGTGAGTGTCCTCCATCAGCCTAAGTCTGCAATACACTGCACATCAGCTGAGACTGTCATTTCAGGGGCAGAAGAAAGGAGATAAGAATGAGATCCTAAGGTTTGGGTGTTTTTGTTTTGTTTTTTTGAGACAAGGTTTCTTTGGATAGCTCTGGCTGTCCTGGAACTAGCACTGTAGACTAGGCTAGCCTTGAAATCAAGAGATCTGCCTACCTCTGCCAACCATGTGCTAAGATTAAAGGCATGTGCAACCACTGCCTACAGTATCTGAAGGTCCTTGAAGACATGGGTAAGATCAATGCCACAGGACACACATCATGTTTAGGAATCAGGAAGGAGCCTTGGTGTTATCAGCAAGGCATCAGAAGCAGTCACGTGGGTTGGAGGAGGTAAATATTATGAGTGTGTCATCCATAGCCAAACAAACACACATCCATGTGTCTTAAATGATCAATGACAAGTAATCCTCAAAATAAAGCTCAGTGTAACAACTCTTCTTCAGACTGATGCCCTCAGAGATTGAGTGAGTGGCCAAGTCACAATAGCAGCAAGGGAACCAGGCTTATCTACCCAGGAGGTACTTTAATATGACCTACCCACGTTGAAGATAGGAGGAGGTCTCCACAGTGAGAGGAGCTCCCAGGCTCTAGGCACCATCATCTTGTGTAGCAGCATACAGGAATCTTTACCACAGAGTCCATAAGTGTTCAGCAGAGAGCTTCCAGAGCACAAGGGCAGAGAAGCACCCTTCCACTTTGAAATCCTTGACAGAAAGCAGCAGTTCACAAGGTCTCTTCCTCTGAAATAAACACAGAAAAGGGATGGGAATGTCCCTGTCATTAATTTTTCTCAGCTACACCAGCTCCCAGCTGGGTGACCAGGCCTACAGGAACAAGCACAGCATCTCATGCAAGACTCAGGCACACATGTCTGCCTCATGATAATGCACATCCCATCCTTTCCCCTCATTAACTGAGGTCTTCTTCACAACAGATGAATGACCTCGAGGCCAACATCACCAAAATAACCTACGCCTTCCAGAAAGACAAGCACCTCAGAGTTTCCTATGAGGTTGCAATAACAAAGGATAGTGGAGACTATGCCACTGGGAAAACGGTGAGTGTGAAAAATGAAGGTTCACTGAGTTGGAAGAAGGCCAACTCTTGAGACTTGGATGCTTGGGATGGACTGATCCCAAAAGCCTGGGGCCCCTTATTATGCCTTGGAGTCCACACAGAAGAGGGAAAGGCCATGGTCGCATGTTACACTAATGCTCCCTTGTGTCATTTCAGCAATTAATCATCTCCCATGACAGCAAGATTTCAAAAACCAAATTGGTACCAAGCATCAAAGTCACAAGGTACTACAATCTGTAACTGCACAGTCCTCTTGAACATGTAAAGGCCCTGTGAAACACATTGGAGTGGTGGGTTCTGGGCAAATATTTGAATAACTATAGGGAATCAGTGGCTTGCATGCTCTTAGTCACTTGTCTGTTCTGCTCAGTAGGCCCTAGTCAACAACTGACTCATCCCAAATCAATAGAGATAAGAGTTGAACTTAAGATTCAGTAGTATTGTTCTCACGAAACTAACATTTCTATCTCTGTATTTTCTTGCTGACAGTTCTGACCACAGAGTGGAGCCCCCTGAGGCTGTAAGTTGATGTAACCTTTTATATTGACCCATGATAGGTGGGAAATCATGTCAATGCCAGACACTCAGTGACTCAGGAGTGGGGGTAAGGGGACTAGAGCACACGTTTACTGTGGAACAGAACTGCAGACTCCTAACTGGCTCTAGGAAGAGCTCTTAAACTATAGCTGCCCATGATCACATTGACATCTGCTTGTGCAAGGGCTGCAAGGAGCACATACATACAAACACACACAAAGGTGACAGAACACATTGCAAGTCTGATGTCACATGCTGGAGAAAGGCCCATAGTGGGTTCCAGAGACGGGGTAGAAAATGTGTCCCTTTAACAGCCAGAGATAAGGACAGGCAGTAAACAGCAGACTCAGGAAACATTCCAAAGCTAGCAATCCCCCATCTCTACTTAGCAGGGAAGCGACTGCATGTTCCTTGCTGTAGACTCAGTGAAAAGAGTAAGACTGACCCCTGACCTCACAGACACATCCACATAGAGTGGTTTATGCCAATAGCTGTCTCCTGGATGGTAGAGGGCAGAGTTTAAGGAATGCCCTCTCTGTGCACACACTAGCATACTGATACAACAGCAACCAAACCCAGTTCTGCAGAAGCCTGACTTCCCACAGAGAAGGGTAAGGGTGATCAGTGAGAAGCTAGCAGAAGTACAGAAATAACCCCATATGCTCTCAGAGAAGGGTCACAGAGAGAGAAGGGGGCACCCTGACATGGAGAATCCCAGACCTAGACACCCTCAAGCCTTGTCAGAGCAGGCAGCAGTGACCACCAATAGCCAGTTCCCACAGCTTTGGCCTCCAAGGAGCTCCTTAAGACCCTCCACCTCCTGCTGTAACTGAAGCAAGGTGGCAGTGAATGGGCCAATATCTCTGCCAATGAAGCAACATGGGCAGCAAACTTAATAGGGGTCCCAAAACCCCCAAAATTGGGAACCATTAGGATACAAGGAGATCAATCTCTACATTTGACCTTGACATGTGACAGACCTGTCAACTAGAAAAATCCCACAGGACCCTGAACCCCGATCTAATGCTCCTGGGCCTTGAGGACAAGGGAAGGACTACAAGGCTCTACTGAAAATGTCCTTTTGTGCCTTGCAGAAGGAAGAGGCTGAAGGCATTTTGTCTGAAGTCATGAAGAAGGCCTGGTCTGGTTTCAATGGTAAGTGGCATTAATAACTCTGACAGCTGGCAGTCAGTGCCCCTTGAGAGGCATGAAAGCAATGGCACATGTAGGACACTAAAGCCCAAGGACAAGGCCACCCTGTCATCTGCTGAGTTATACATCACCTTCTCTATCATAAATGAAAGTATCTCATGGTCTATAGAGTAAACAGATCAAAGTGCCTGCTCTGTACCTGCCAGGAAGTTTTGTTCACAAGTGCCTTGCGACCAAGACCACCAGAGGATGCAGCTGAAGAATGGACCTGGGTCACCACACATTAGACATTAGGGTTATGACACTTGAAGGTTATATCATAGTCTCTTGGGACCATAGCAATGATGGTGATTCTACTTGCCAGGTATATTCATTCCTAGTTAGTTCTATTGTGGTTGTAAATAGTTTGCTGATCATCAAATGTATGTGTCACCTCCAGTCAGGTCCTGTAGTGAGGCAGTGAATCATTTGTCGTCAATGTTAGGAGACCAACAAATCCCCACTGCTTTGGGGACCTTTCTTCTCCTATACCATATCTGGCCTACATCCTGCAGGCTGGGGTATACAGTATCCATGAAACCATATTGAAAGTGTGTGGCAGGGACTGCTGTTAGGGCCACATACAGATCATAGATCCCACATGTGATTGTCCTCAAACAAACCAGCCAGGTTATTTTTTCCCTTAACTCCTGATACAAGGTGGTACTTCCTCATTTCAGAACTGTATAAACAGATGAATATTCCAGAAGGAGTGTCTTCATTTGCATTAATGAATGCCAATGTCAAACCACTGAAATTGGTAAGAAACATAATACAGCACTTTTCTGTGCTTCTGTGCTTTGCTTTGCTTTATTTGCTTTGCTTTGCTTTGCTTTACTTGGCAGAAACAGGACATCACATATAGTCTTCATCTACCTGTGCAATCAGTGTGCAATGTGTCATCAGCTTCTTTCCTAAGCCTCAACCTTAAGCTATGCTTGACCCCATGCTTTCTAGCATCTGGGCCTAAATCAATTCCTAGAGGGTCCAAATGACAGAAAGGCAGCATTTGCTCAGGGTGGCTTTGCATGCTCTCATTCTTCCTACTGACCCGCTCAGGGGCCAGGGGACCTTGCACCAGCCAGCCTTGATCACAAGAACAGATCAGATGGATGACATCTGAGATATAGCTACAGTGACAATAAACACAGCCTGCAGCAGCTTCTGGTGGTAACAGAGGAAGTGTAGTTACTGACAGCCAGCATTGTGCAAGGGTCAGCAGGGGCTACACTCAGCATCCTGTGAGCACAGAGTGGGCGCTGCTGCCTCTGGGTGGACCCTACTGCATCTGCATGGATCCCCTCCTGCCAGAGGCTTCACCTGTAAATTCCTCCTCTCACAGGCTAAGCTCTCCAGGGTGTTCACTCCAGGTGTTCTCTCCCATCCCTGAAGCAGTGCTGTGTGATCTGCTGGGGGACTGGATTGACAATACTCATGCTTGCAGGCAACTTCTGGGTTTAAAGAAGGTAATTATTGTCTTTCTCTCCCCTTAGGGTGAACTTCAGGCAACAAACTGAACACTACTGAAGCCAGGCCAAGACCAGGAAGATGCGAAACCCCCTGTGAATCTCTCCATGCCACCCTGAAGCCCCACCCTTATGATTAAGGGAACAGTAGCAGTAGTCCCCTCAGCAGGCTCAGGATCCTCTGCCTTGATTGACAAGGCAAATAAGAACAGTTCAAGGACATGGGCTTTGTTGTAATCAGCCACTTAATAAACAGTCCCTTCATGCAAAAGTAAAGGACTCTGACTCCTGTCTCAACTCTGGTACATGTTCCTGAGAATGCAAAGAACTTCTTTCTTACTTGGTGCTGAACAATGACATGAGACACCAAATCCAGTGTTCCCCAGAACTCTGTGGGATGGTCTTGACAAGGATTAACCCTTTCAGCAGCTCCCTCCCCTGTTTTACTTTGAATTTGGAGTGACTTCCAAAGGCTCAGGAGGTGAAGATTTGCTCCCCACCTGCTGCCATAGGGAGGTGGCCCCTTTAAGAAGTGCTGCCTAGAAGTAGTTTTTAGTTCACTGGGGCACATTCTTCAAGCCCATGAGGAACCCTGGCTCTTTCTTGCTTTTCCTTTCTGGCCATCTTGTGAACACTTTGCTTCTCAAGACCATAGACTGCTCACCACAGACCTAAACACCAGAAGAGAAATTAGGTCACAGTCTGGGTCCTTAACCTTAACCTCTTCTCTACTTCAGTGATAAATAGTGGGTCCTGGGTTGCTGGGCTCCTTGGGAGATGATATAATGAATCAGATCAGGCCAAATTAATAAATCCAGGATGAATCTGAGCAAAGCCTTCACAGGTGGCCCCAGGTTAACAGGAGAGAAGTTTGAATTAAACCCAAGAGGAGGGTCTTTTAAATGCCCTCCAGGGATGGAGCCCATGACATTGTTCTTCTCAGGACCATAGTTTGGAATGAGGCAACTCCAGGGAAAGAACCCCACCTTGGCACCATGAGGGTGGGGTTTGGAATGGGTGGCAAACTGGAGATTCCAAACAATGGGGACAGCATCCTGGGTCTGGAACATTTTGGTTTTACCATGCAGGTTTTACAAGGTACTATGTGGACACCAGAGACAGAAAAGTCCAGACAGGAGGGCACCAGGCCTGACTCTGCTGAGTTCTCTCTGGGAGTCTGCATGTTGCCTAGGGACCCAAACTTTTACTATGCACACTCTGAATTGTCTGTGGTGGGCCTGGCACCCACCTTCCTCCCAATACACTGCGGATTCTCTATAGTGAGTCAGAATTCTAACCCATGGGAACTCTCATGATAGGTCATTGAGTGTTTTACACTATATTATGTAGTTTCGATGACTATAGAATTATTTTAATTTCAGTTTTTTTCTTTCTTTTTCCTTTTTTTATTTTTTTATTTTTTTATTTTACATATCGATGCCAGTTCCCACTCCTTCCGTATTTCCCTCTCTGCCCGCCTCACATGCACCCCGACCACCCTGCCCTCCAACCCCCTCCACACTGCACATGTAGGGTGATGCCATCCAGGAGGGGTCATCTAAATCTGTCAAGTCATTTGAAGTAGGGACTAGAAATTCTCTCCTGACTCTAGGTAAAGTGTGTATCCCTCCATAGGGGATGTACCCACAAGGTCCTTTTGTGCACCAGGAATATATCCTGGTTCCACTGTCTGAGGTCCCTTAGACTGCTCAGGCCTTCTGGCTGAGACCCATATACAGGCGGACTGAGTCAGTCCCATGCTGGATTCCCAGCTATCAGTCTGGGAGCCCATTAGCTCCTCCTTGTTCAGGTCAGCTGTCTCTATGTGTTTCTGTCTCTGCATCTGGGTTCTAGTTTGGCTCAGAGTTTAATTGTGGGTGTTTGCTTCTGTTTCCAATAGGTACTAGATGAGGCCTTCATGATGGTGGATAAGTTAGTCATCAGTCTCATTATCAGGGAAGGGCATTTATGGTAGTCTTTCCACTGTTGCTCAAATTGTTAGTTGGAGTCAGTCTTTTAGGTCTGGACATTTCTTTAGGTTCACTTTTCTCTTCAATCCTATAATGGCTCCCTCTTTTATGTTCTCTCTCTCTCTGTGTGTGTGTGTGTGTGTGTGTGTGTGTGTGTGCCTGTTTGTCTGTCTCTCTCTGCCTCTCTCTATCTATTTTCTGTCTTCTATTCTTCTCCTGAATCAGTCTTCCTAGTCCCATGTGCTTTCCTCTCCTCCCCTTCTCTTTCTCCTAGTTCCCTCTCCACTCACTGCTCTGGAGGATTTGTCCCTTCCCCCTTCCGTGAGGGATCTTATATGAATCTCTTAGAATCCACCTTGTATCCTAGTTCCTCTGGCCGTGTGAATTATAGGCTGGTGATCCTTTGCTCTAGGTCTAAATTCCATATATGAATGAGTACATACTATGTTCCTCTTTTTGTGATTGGGTTACCTCATTCAGGATGGTTTCAAGTTCCATCCACTTGCCTGTGAATTTCAAGATTCCATTGTTTTTGTCCACAGAGTAGTGTTCCATTGTGTAGATGTGCCACATTTTCTTTATCCATTCTTCAGTTGAAGGGCATCTAGGTTGCTTCCAGGTTCTTGCTATTAGAAATAATGCTGCTATGAACATAGCTGAGCAAATGTCTTTGTTGCATGGATGTGGATCGTTTGGGTATGTGCCTAAGAGGGGGATTGCCGGGTCCTATGGTAAACTAATTCCCATTTTCCTGAGCAACCACCATATTGTTGTTTTGATTTGTGTTTCCCTGATAGCTAAGGATATTGAGCACTTTCTTAAGTGTCTTTCAGCCTTTTTGATTTCCTCTATTGAGAATTCTCTTCAGTTCTGTACCCCATTTTTAATAAGATTATTCGGTGTTTTGTTCACTAGTTTCTTGAGTTCTTTGTATATTTTGGAGATCAGTCCTGTGTCAGATGTAGGATTGGTGAAAATCTTTTCCCAGTCTGTGGGCTGCCGTTTGGTCTTGTCAACTGTGTCCTTTGCCTTACAGAAGTTTCTAAGTTTGTGGAGGTCCCATTTATTGTCTATCTCAGTGTCTGTACTACTGGAGTTATGTTTAAGAAGGGGTCTCCAATACCAATTTGTTCAAGGGTACCTCCCACTTTCTCTTCTAAAGAGTTCACTGTGGCTGGATTGATGTTGAGGTCTTTGATCCATTTGGACTTGAGTTTTGTGTGTGGCAATAGACATGGGTCCATCTGCAGACTTCTACACACCATCATCCAATTGTGCCAGCACCATTTGTTGAAGATGCTTTACTCTCCCCATTGTATGCTTTTAGCTGTTTTGGCAAAAATCAGGTGTTCATAGGTATGTGGGTTAATGTCAGGATTTTTGGTCAACTTGTATATTCTTGTGCCAATACCAGGCTGTTTTCAGGACTATAGCTCTGTAGTAAAGCTTAAAATCAGGGATGGTGATGCCTCCTGACGTTCTATTATTGGACAGGGTTGTTTTGGCTATCCTGGGTCTTTTGTTTCTCCATACAAAATTGATTATCATCCTTTCAAGGTCAGTGAAGAATTGTGCTTGGATTTTCATGGGGATTGCATTGAATCTATAGATTGCTTTTGGCAAGATTGCCATTTTTTACTGTTTATCATACCTATTCAAGAGCATGGGAGATCTTTCCATTTTCTGGTATCTTCTTTAATTTCTTTCTTTAAAGACACAAAGTTCTTATTCTATAGATCTTTCACTTGTTTGGTAAGCATTACCCCACGATACTTTATGTTGTTTCTGGCTATTGTAAAGGGTGATATTTCTTTGATTTCTTTCTCAGCCCCTTTGTCATCTGAATAAAGTAGGGCTACTAATTTTTTTTTTTTAGTTTATGTTGTATCCTGCTAGTTTGCTGAAGGTGTTTATCAGCTGTAGGAGATCGCTGGTAGAGTTTTTTGGGTTGCTTATGTAAAGTAACATAGCATCTGCAAACAGTGAAAGTTTGACTTCTTCCTTTCCAATTTGGATCCCCATGATATCCTTTTGCTTTCTTATTGCTTTATCTAGAACTTCAAGTACAATATTGAAGAGATATGGAGAGAGAGGGCAGCCTTGCCTTGTTCCTGATTTTTGTGGAATTGCCTTAAGTTTCTCTTCATTCAGTTTGATGTTGGCTGTTAGTTTACTGTATATTGCTCTTATTATGTTTAGATATGTTTCTGTTATCCCCAATCTCCCCAAGACCTTTATCATGAAAGGGTGTTGAATTTTGCTGAAGGCTTTTTCAGCAACTATTGAGATGATCATGTGGTTTTTCTTTTTCAGTTTGTTTATAT